GTTATTTGGTGACTCTGAAATAGTCTGTAGAAGAAAGGAAGAATAACATGTTTTTTTTTTTTGTTGTTGTTGTTGTTTCTCTATCCCCTTCCCTTAAGCCAATTTTTAGAGAAAACAGATCTGTGTCCTGCCAGCCTCCAGAGTGACTAATTAGCAGTTTTTTTAAAGTAGCATCATGAAATCATGGATTAAAAAAAAATATTTGATGTGGTTATCTTCTCAAGGTAAATTATTAGAAGAGAAGTCCTGTGAAAGGGTAGACAAATTTAAAATTTTGATATAGATTACCCCTCTCAACTCCAGAAATATCATACCATTTTGTGCTCCTACCAATATATAAAAATATTTATTTCTCTATATCCTTGCCAACACTGATTGGGCCCGTTTTTTATTTTTATTTTTTTAATTTTACCAATCTGATGATAAATCGATATTTTACTGTTTCTATTGCAGCGCTTAGTTAGAATTGATCTTTTCACATTATTGAATTTTTTAAAAAACTAGCCAGTTGTCTGTTAATTAACTTTACCTGTGTTTCTATTGGGATATTAGTCTTTTATTACWTTTTTCTGTTTTTATGCCTATCAGTATTTTTCCTTGGTGGTTTCCCTTCTATTTGCTTGGACTCTTTCCTACCTTAAGATTATAAAAATATGTACTTATTTTTTCTAGTGCCTTTAAATATTTAAATATTATAGCTAAATTTAAATCTTGGTTCCATGGAGAGCTTATTTTTATGTAAGAAATAAGGTGCAGCATTACATTTTCCCAAATGTCTGACCAATATCCCCATGCCAACGTATTAAATAAGTTACCTTTACCCACTAACTTTGTTACCAAATCCAAGTTCGTTTACTTGGGCCACTCAAAAAGAAGCCCAGTGTATCAGTAAGCCAGAGAAATCAAGAATATAGTGGGCCAGTGCCCTAAAAATCCATCTTTTTTTTTTTTATAAATAGATCTTTTATTTAATTTATTTATTTATATGCAGTGCTAAGGATCGAACCCAGGTCCTCACACATACCAGGCAACTGCTCTACAGACTGAGCCACAACTCCAGTCCCTGAGCCTCATATTTTGAGAAAATATTTTCAGTTACAAATTGAATTTTTTGATTATAACTAATCAGTTTTTATAGTCTTCTTATGTAAATCTTTAAAACTTTTGTTTTTTTAAGAATTTGTTCATGTGGCTTATTTTCAAAAATTTTTAAAATTTTTGATTCTTTTTTTTATTATTAGTTGTTCAAAACATTACAAAGCTCTTAACATATCATATTTCATACATTTGATTCAAGCAGATTATGAACTCCCATTTTTACCCCGTATACATATTGCAGATTCACATCGGTTCCACATCCACTTTTTTACATACTGCCATACTAGTGTCTGTTGTATTCTGCTGCCCTTCCTATCCTCTACTATCCCCCCCTCCCCTCCCCTCTCCTCCCATCTTCTCTCTCTACCCCATCTACTGTATTTCATTTCTCTCTCTCTTGTTTTTTCCCCTTTCCCCTCACTTCCTCTTATATGTAATTTTGTATAACAATGAGGGTCTCCTTCCTTTACCATGCAATTTCCCAAAAATCCATCTTAACTCAGTATAAATTTCAAACTCCTCCTATCCTCAGTTTTGGTGGGGTAGGGTGGAAGGAGGGCTTGTATTAGGTAAGGACTGATGACTGGAGACCTAAGATGCCACTCCTGTGTTAAGGAACAGGGTGTTGTGAGACCTGGTGGTTGGCAATCTGTCAATCAAGATGCCTCTGAAAAATCTCGAAAATATCTTAGTTACTCTCATTTTGGTGTCTTCAGCATTGAAGCAGGAAGAGAAAGATTAGGGAAGTTTCGAGTAAATCAGCCTTATACTACCAATTCTAGACAAGATTCATTAAATGACTACCATGCATCTATGCAAAGCTGAGCAGAAGCAGTCTAACCCAAAGGTTAGCGAACAACAGATCTGAAGGCAGAAGGGCCAGGCTTTCTTAGCCTGTTTCAGTCTGTTTCAGTCCCTTCCTGGGCAGGCCCAAGTGAAGAGTCAGTGCTTTCTACAAAGGCATTCTCCAAGTCCCTGATAAGTGCCCTAGGCCACTGTGTCATCATAACACACACTTCAGAAGTGTTATCTACAGCAAGGCTCGTGGGAAACTAATAATGCATTGCCCCATGGTGTAGCTTCCAAAATTCGTGATTTTTAAAGTCAGCTGCAAGCAGGTGAAGCTGGAAGGTTTACCCTTGATTACAACTTGGAATGCCACTTTTATGCTTAGTTCTCTGTAATTTTGATTCTGAGTTTTCTATTGTGTTCCACTGATAGGTCTATGACTGGTCTCTTGTCACAATTTATATTACCACAGCTTGATTTTCCATTAACATTTTTGTTACTGGAATTTATGAAATTTTGAAAATTATATGAACTTATTCTTGTATGTCAGTTGCTTTATAATGTTTAATTTTGTTGTTGTTTTTGTTTGGTTTTGCAGTGCTAGGGATCAAACCCAAGGCCCTGCAAGTACTAGACAAATGCTCCACCAGTGAGCTGCGTCCCTAGACACTGTGACATGTTCTAATATTTGATTGCTTGTCTCTTTTCTTATTTTATGACTTTGCTGCCAGAGCTCACAGATTGATCCAAGTGGATTTGAAAATATTTGTTAAGTTCTCCAAATACCTTCTATATTTCATTTAAGGAGGACTGATTTTATAATTTTAAACTCTCATGGTTAAGAATGTAGTCTTTCATTCATTTAAGTCATCTTTTGTGTCCTTGAGTACTTTTTATTACCTTATTTCTAAGTTTATTATTGTTAGTTTCTCTGTCCCTTTGTTTGAGGAATGCCTTTTAAACTTGATCAGAGGGGCTGGGGATGTGGCTCAAGTGGTAGTGCGCTTGCCTGGCATGCGTGCGGCCCGGGTTCGATCCTCAGCACCACATACCAATAAAGATGTTGTGTCTGCCAAAAACTAAAAAATAAATATTAAAAAATTCTCTCTCTCGCTCTCTCCTCTCTCACTCTCTCAAAAAAAAAAAACTTGATCAGATTCAATTTTTTTTTAATGAGGTCATACCTTCTGGGAAAAATGTCAGACTTTATTATCTGTAATATTAGCTTTCTAAGCTGCTCCCTAAGCCGACAAGCTCTATTTCCCACTGTCCTTAAGGCAAATTCAGACATAGTTTCCTTCTGATAGTCACTATTGTTTAGTTACCAAGTATAAATTACAACAAATTTCTGAGGAAGACATAATACATTGTTGGTCAAAATTAAAGGCTAATTGAAAACTTCAGTTATTTCATTACACCATTCAGGCAACTTTTTATTAAGTGACAAGAGGAACCTACGATTATAAAAGATTTTCATAAGGCATGTGTCTTCTAGCCTACCAGTTTTCTTGGTTGGACTATTTATAGGATCTATTTCATTGTACCTGGGAATTGTTATCTTTTTCTGCTTGTAGAGCTGTCTTAATGCTCAAACCTGTTTTATCCAAAGTACAGTAGTAAAGATAAAAGCAGCTACTACTTACTGAGATTGTCCTATGTGCTAGGCTCTCCATCTTACATATTTAATATATGTTAATTTCTTTAAATCACTGAACAGCTTTCTAAGGATTTCTTATGTTGCAGATAGGAGGTGAATTGATAGTGAACTTAAATCTATGAGGCTTCAACTCATTAAGGTCTCAGATTACATTACAGACTCCTGCCGTTGTGGGTGTGTGCAGATGTACACATGTGCCTGCATTTTGGAGGACTTTTGTTGTTTGGAGGGGTAAGCAGAGAGAGAAGTGGTCATAGTTTCAGCAAACTTGAAGGCACTGCTTCTAAAACACAGAAGACTTTTATAATTCACCATCTCATTCTCAAGAACTATTCTTCATTAAGGATTATGTTCTGCAAGTACTAGACAAATGCTATACCTCATTATGTTTTAAACTTCTATTTTGTAGATGTTTAGTGAACTGCTATTATTTGGTAGATTCTAGGATCAGTTTTCTGGGGAGTATTATAAACTAGGATTAATAAGAATAATATAAATATTGGAATTATCAAAAGATTTGTTAAGGTTAGTAATGACAAGACAAGATTATAAGGTGAGTCATTATTTTAGGGGGAAATCTATTTTCAGATCCTTTAAAACTACTCAATTATAAATAATATGTTAATTATAATTTCAGATTTTTAAAATTCATTCAAACAGCAGAACCCTTTGCTTTTCATATATATATATATTCTCTCTTACTTAGTAAAGTAGCATTCTGTGATTCAGAGAAACTTTCCAGGCAAATCAATTGGCTTGTTTGTGTATGTTATAAAATACGTGAGAAACACTAAAAGGCATAAAGATAATATCCTATCCTTATATCTAACATATTATTGAAGGCATAGAATTTTACCAGTATAAATGAAGTCCCTCTGTACTGCTCTTCAAGTGCCTGATCTTCCTCTGCCTCAGAAATAACTTATTATCTATTTTATTTTTTTTTTATTTTTATTTTTTTAAAGAGAGAGTGAGAGAGGAGAGGAGAGGAGAGGAGAGAGAGAGAGAGAGAGAGAGAGAGAGAGAGAGAGAGAGAGAGAGAGAGAGAGAATTTTTAATATTTATTTTTTAGTTCTCGGCGGACACAACATCTTTGTTGGTATGTGGTGCTGAGGATCGAACCCGGGCCGCACACACTCCGGGCGAGCACGCTACCGCTGAGCCACATCTCCAGCCCCCTTATTATCTATTTTAAAACATAATAAACATTTTTGGACCTTGTAAATGATAGTATAAGCTAATTGTTCTGCAATTTGCTTTTTTTCATTCAATATGATATTTTTGAGATCCACCCATGTTGACATGTGTAGTTCTAGTCTGTTCATTTTTACTGCTGGTAATATTATGATCTATAAGCATGTCATCATTTACTTATACATTCTTCTCCTGATGGACAGGTAGTTGTTTCCAGTTTTTGCACTTAATAAAACATACTGTTATCAATGCTGTCTTACAGGTCTCCCTGTGCTTATATGTGAGAGATTCCGTAGAGTACTTTTCTATGAATGAAATTGCTGAATCAAAAGGTATGTGTATTTTCACGTTTGCTAAACATTGGCAAGTTGTCACCAAGGGTAGTACCCACTAAGATCCCCACCTTTGCCAATTAGGTCTCTCATTGTTCTATACCCTTACCAACACTGGTATTGTTGAAGTTTAATTTGCCATTGAGTGATATCTTATTGTTTTGAATCTTCTTGATTATTGTTGAGGTTGACCTTTTCTTCTTGTGTTTATTAATAATATAGATATTTCATCCTATTATGTTTTTCCTCCATATCTGTGGGTTCTACATCGGTGGCTTCAATCAACCACAGATAGAAAACATTTGGGAAAAAAATGCATCTGTACTGAATATGCAGACTTTTTTTTTTTTTTTTCCCCCAGAACTGGAGATAGAACCCAGGGCCTTCCATATGCTAGGTAAATTCTCTATCACTGAGCTCCATCCCCACTCCTTTTTATTTTTTTATTTTCTGTTTTTATTTTTTGTCTCACTAAGTTGTTAAGGCTGTCCCCAAACTTGAAATCCTCCTGCCTCAGCCTCCCAAATAGCTGGGATTATGGGCAATCCCCACTGTGCCCAACTATGTAGACTTTGTTTTCCATGTCATTATTCCCCAAACAATACAACACAACAACTGTTTACATAGCATTTATGTTGTATTAGACACTATAAATAATTTAGAGATGACTTAAAGTATACAGTATAATATGCAAATACTATGTCATTTTATATAAGGGACTTCAGTATCTTGACATTTTGGGATCCATGGGGGGCGAAGAGTCCTAGAATCAGTCCCCTGAGGACACCAAGGGATGACTGGACTTATTGTATATAATGGTTGAAAGTGATGTGCAAATTTGAAAGTAGCATAGATAGATAGAACTATACCATATTATTATCCTTGAAATATTGGCAGTTTTGCACATTTTTTGGAAGACATAATTTGGGGTGGTTTCTTGATTGTATATTTTTAAAAAGCATGTACTTTGAATTGATRCTTGAATCACACACAGCTCTATTATTTTTCTCTATATGACCTTCAACTATTTATGTAATCTGAGTATCTACCTCTTCATCTTTTAAATGTGTATATCTTATGATTTGATGACAAAATTAGATGTCATTAACACCTAGCACATAGGATTAGTACATAGTTTTAGGATGAAATATACATACTCAGTTTCAATATTATGAAAGATGGGTGATATCATGGTATAAATGTGGATCAGTCCTGATATTTGGAAGCATGTGTTAATAGTTGACTCTAATATAAATGTGCTTTAATCTCAATCAAGGAGACCATTGGCACAGAAAAATCCAGAACTATCAAGTGTCTGCATAGGATTGTCTTAGTTCTCCCTGTATACCCTGCTCATCTTCTGTGCCCTGTCAGAAGGCAGTGATAGAGCTGTATGGGACCACCCATAGTGGTGGGTGGGCACAACCTCAGGCCCCTTCTCTGTGCCCCGCAATCTGGCTCTATTTGGGAACCCAGTCAATAACCATACAGCATGGGATAGGTGGGCCGTGTGCCAGAGAGCTGATGATGGTAATGCGGACTGGTCAGTCGTAGATACTGTGAGTTGATTTCATTTGGATTGTTCTGTTGCCTCTTGCCACAGGAATTTCTTCACATGGCTGCTGAGGAAGTGACCATTACAGTGCGCCTCATTCGTTCATTTGAGCACCGCAATTTCAAGCCCGTAGTGTATCATGGAGTTAATTTGGATCAAACCGTAAGGGACTTTATAGTATTTCTAAAGCAAGGTATGAGACAGTAGAGTCATTTTGTTTTACTGGTGGTTTGAAAATATAGCTGGCTCTGATGTTAATGGTAATCTTTTTAAAACACAGAGGTAATTGGAAGATATTAATCTAGGTTCTGAGCCAGGTGCTAGGCTGGCTCCTGTTCTGAGCCTTGGCATCAGCCTGCCCCAAGATTTCTTAATAAGCTACGTGTGTGTCCTCACCACAGATTGTTACCATCATGCTTGACTTAAAAAAAAAGAAAATTAAGATCTGTGTTTTCTTTTCTTTCTTTCTTTCTTTCTTTTTTTTTTTTTTCACCTGCAACACCAACTTTATTTTTAAATCTGAAAGTGTCTTGGGAGAGTTTTACAAAAAAATCAACAGAAATGAATTATGAAAATATTTGACCAACTTTATTCTTTGGTTATTTCTTATTGTGGCTCTGTAAGGACAGACTGTTCCTGAAGCTCCAGCTAAAGCAGGAAGGGAAAAAAAAAATCAGTCCAAGTATAAACCATTTAACAAACTGGGTGTTTATCACCTGTTGCTAACATAGAGCAGGCCCTAGGGCCTACAAAACCAGCCCCACTCCCAACCACAAGGTTGAAAGTCCTAATGAGGCAGAACATTAAGACTCCTTTATAAATATGAAAATAGATTAATCAACTGGAAAAGTTCTTTAAATGGGTTAGCTAAGAGCCATGACCACCATGCTGCCTTGCCCTCCCCTTGCATAGAAACGTAGTGATGTGGTCTGACCATGGTCAGTTGTACAAACAGCAATTATTCAAGTGTCTTAGACATACCGGCAAGAAGCACCCCAGTCTTCAGCCCTTTATCATTTCCTGGTCAGCTCCAAGTTCCATCCAGTAGCTTATATGCCCCCCCCCCCAAAAAAGGCAACATAGATTTGGGATGGTAGAAGAACCAGGGTAATACCGCCTGCCAGCTCAACCTAGAACTAAGAGTTCTCTGGTCCTGTCTGGGGAAGTATACTTGGGTCAGGTAGGAACTAGAGCTCCTTGCTTAACATCACCAGTTGGCCCTAACTAGGAAGGCCTCTCGCTGCTGCCTTCCCTCTCATGCAGCCATTGGGTAAATAGGAACCCAAAAGTTTAGCCTGGCTTGACCTGCTCTCCAGGCCCCAGGGAAGAGTGGAGGATGTGCACCAAGGGGTCTCTATGGCTTTAGTTGTCATCCCCAAGGTAAGACAGGGGTTAAACCTCCTTACCCATCCTGTTCTCCCTGGACTTGCAGTCCTATGCCTGAGATAGATTAGGGGACTGCAGCCAAGTTTCTTGGCTTGCCTTCTTCTATCTCCATTTCCTCGGAGACACTTCTGCAACATGGGCTTGTCTCCTGGGGCTTGGGCCCCAAACCGTTTTCTTCCTGGGGAGTATAGCAGTCCATGGTCTCATGGGCTGCAGCAGCTGCCCGGAATGGTGGGATCTCTCTTACCCTGTACTTGAGACTACTGAGTCGTGGTGGGGGCCCATCAGATAGTGATTCTTCATGGCACACAAATGGACAAGCCTCCTGATGCAAGAACTCTGGTGAACCTGGCAAAGAACGCCATCGGGGAGCAGGTGGGGCCAAGGGCTCCTGCCAGTCAGCTAGGGGTGTAGTTCTAGGCCCTGGTGCATCCAGGTCAAATACCAGGGAGATCACAGACTTGCTGGGTAGGTCAAAGAGCTTGATCTTGCCTCCCTTGAGGTCCTAATGAGCACTGAAAGGATTGACTTTGGGGACGAGGATCGTAGAGGAAGGCTGCTCAGCTTCTGGCAGCTATAAAACAGACAGTGAGAAAGAGGGAGGAAGGGGCCAGATAATAAGTTACAGTCTTTGGGGATATGCCCACAGTGACCCACCTTCTCTAGCCACAACCCACCTGCCCACAGTTACCATCCATCACAGTAGCTCTTTCAAATTATTAATCCACCAAGTGGATTAATCCACTCTATAGGTGACAAATCTCATAATCTAATCATTTGACGTCTGAACATTTCTGTAATAGCACAGGAGCTGCTAAGATACCTCATGTCCAAACCACGACAACCATGTAGAAGTACACTGCTGACATAATTCCCCCTTACCCCTCAATATTTCACTATGTATTTCCTAAACAAGGAATTCCCTTTCTCTTATGTTACCACAGTACAGTGATCAAACTGAGGAACTCCATATTGAGACGGTACTCTTTGATCTCTAGGCCTTGTTGAGATTTCATTTGCCCCAATAGGGTCTTGTGTGACAAAGGTCATACATTGCATTCAGTTCCTTTGATTCAGAATACTTCTGGAGTCTTCCTTGTGTTTCATCACTTGGACAGTTTTGTACAGCACAGGCTGTTCTTCAGTGCTAAGAGCCATAGCCAAGTAGGAATGATGCATGGCATTTTTGGTTGAAAGGTGACGCCAGCAAGCCATTGAGATGATAATGATTATGTTAAGATGTGCATTCAATTGGGTATTAGACCCCTGCTGTCTGCCTTGGCCTGCTACTTTGGAGCTCTCACAGGACTCCCGGAGAGTTCCCATTGGTTGGGGAAGTGCGGTAGGAGGGAATTCCGGAGGAGGGATTTCCGGTTGGTGTGGTGTGGCCCGGAAGAAGGCCGGCGTTCGCGGAAATTTTGGAAATAAAGTTTGTTCCTGCTTGAGTGGCTCATGATTTTGTGCCCAGCCAGACTGCAGCACTTCAGCACACTCTGCAGTTGGGTGTCTAATCTTTTCCATAGTTTATAAAACCTTTCAGCAGGAAGAGCAGAGAAGTCTTCTCTGGGCGTCTCACCAGGATGAGTACCACTGATCAGGCAGTGGTCACCAACCAATTGGTTAAGTTGGTATCTGCCAGGTTTTTTCACTGTAATTGTCATTGAAAAGTAACTTGTAGGGAAGTAGCCTGAGACCAGATGAATATCCTCTTACTTTTCAAACTTTCATCTGCCATGTTGGCTTTCTTTGATGATTCTTGCATGACTTAATCATGATGATGATGATTGATAGCTGGTGACTTTTCCAATTTCAACCTTCCTTTTACATATACTAATTGGCTATCTACAGCAAGGAAGAGCTTTGTATGTCCCCTACCTCTTTTATTTAATCATAAATAAAAGAAAGAAGATTAGATTGATCTGTAACAGAAGGAAAACCTAAATAAGCCCCTCCCCCCCGGTTTCACTTGGTTTTATTTGACTTTAAAACTCAAATAAGTTTAAATGGAGTTCATGCACCTGAGCAATATATTAGTAGACCCCACTAGTAATAGATGTGG